TTATCCATCTTGATGCCCTGCACTCCCTGGTTTTCAATTTGATCCCTCAAAGCTAACCTCACCTTCAATCAACCCCATTTACAGAACCATCCTCACTCTTCAGACAATGCAATCCTATCCTTCCTCATTCCAATTGAGTCTTCATCCTCCTCTCCCTCCTCCTCTCTGATAAAGAAGTACTTTTCTTCAACACCATCACTAAAGGAAGTCGATCTTCTTAGTATCTTGCCACCTTTACTACTACCCTCTATCTACCCAATCTTGACACTGCACTATCATTGCCACCATCATCATTTCTTGATGAAGAAGAAGAGCCACCGATAGGAGGTAATATATCTCTCTCTCTGAACTATCTTATCTTGTTTGGTAATAAAGCTTCGTTTAACTGATATTTACGAGAACCCCATTAGATGTATTGTGTCAATGATGTTTTAGTTCTCTTTGGATCCTTTTGCTTTTTTCCTTCATAGATTTCATTTGGCTCAACAACAAATCTTGATAGAACCAATTATGTGAGCAATTTGGATCCAGACCCTTTCTTCTTTTTATAAGCTAATCTTACAAAGAAAATAGTAAATTCGAGGGGGGCTTGTCGTTGAAAAATACCAAGAAGCTCTGACTACGCTTCTTCATTTTTTGGATTGATACAAGCAACTCACATGTTCCCTATGCACTCCTTCAATTGTTATGCTCTGGCCAAAAAGAGATGAGAGGGGCACTCCCATTTCACTTGTTAGGGACTAAGCTGCATAGGACAAGAATGACAATAAATTCTGTAGGAGCATAGATCTTAGAGGAATATTTTAGGAAATTTCGGTGAAGTGGAGTTGGAATTGGTAGCGAGGCTTCTGGACTTATCTCCTTAGTTTTATGAGAATCTTTTTCTGTTTGCTAAATGCTTGTACTTGTTTAGATCATTTAGAATAGACTCCATTAGTTCTATAAATCATTAGTATGGTATAATCTTGATATCCAAACTGTTTTTCGTTTGTTCTTTACTTGTCTCGATAATTATGTGGCTATACGTGGTGATTTAAATTTATGCATACTGGAGCTGTGGTGATATAACTTGATGCATCCTGGAGCTGCATTTTTTTTCATATTGACTTTAATTAGATCACGGGCCTTTCCTTACTTGGCCTTCCCCTTAATGAAATTATGTTGTAGAGTTTCAATCACTATTTTTTCCACTCATAATGTGGGACAGAAAATTCAGTGACCATAGAAAAGTGGGAAGTGTGTGTGTGTTTGTTTAGTACTCGGAATGAAATAACATAGCCGAGAACTCTATGATCTGAATAATTGGAGAGAAACATTGATGGGAATTAGTTATTTATGCAAAGTTTGATTATGCTTCGATGCTTTAAATATGCTATTTTTATTCTGAGCATGCATCCTTCTCAATTCTCTCTAGATGTTCTCATACATGTGTCTCCTTTTCTGTCTCAATGAGATGCTAGTTTCATCTTCATTTGTACAAGATGAATGACATGAATCTGATTGATGGACTTTCTGGCAAATATCTTTATCCCTTTACTGTGAAGAGAATGGCTTCTACCTACATTTATAGTTGCAGGCTGAACTTTTTATCTTAGTGAACCATTTGTTGTTAAATTTGTTTTCTAAGCAATATCTTTCACAATTTGCAGATTTTCTAAGAGCCCAATACGCATCTGCTTTTACGAAGCTGCCTAAATAGCTTCCAATGATGCAAAACAGCCCTTGCTATCAGGATTGGTGGATCCCACCTCTCAAAGAATCAATGAATGTCATTGCGACAGAAGAAGGATTCGCCATGTTAAAAGTGCTCCCCTAGCAGCATTTGTTCCTTCAGATACTAGTGGCAATGGGCCAATTCCATGTTGTGATTCCTTTTGAGGGGGACTACACCAGAGCCTGAAGAAAGTAGCGTTGTTATTGGCTGTGTACTTAGGTCTTGGCACAATATGCTTTTATGCTGTCAGGGATGATATCAACGGGAAGAAAACCAATCTGATTCTTGATTCTGTATATTTTTGTATTGTGACGATGACCACAGTAGGATATGGGGACCTGGTGCCCGATAGTGCCCCTGGGAAGTTACTTGCCTGTTTTTTTGTCTTCACAGGGATGGCTCTTGGCGGATTGGTACTGAGCAAAGCAGCAGACTATTTGGTAGACAAGCAGGAAATATTACTGATTAAAGCTCTACACTTGCATGAAAAACTTGGTCCAGCTGCGTCCCTAAAGGAAATTGAAACCAGCAAAGTGAAATACAAATGTTATTTGGCCCTGGCTATCCTTTCAGTGCTCATGCTGGTCGGAACTGTTTTCCTGTATATGGTTGACGATTTGGACATCATTGATGCTCTCTATTGTGTCTGCTCTACTATTACAACTCTCGGTTATGGAGACAAGAGCTTCTCAATTGGAGGTGGTCGTTTGTTTGCTTTATTTTGGATACTGACGGGTACCACTGGTTTAGTTCTGTTATTTCTATACATTGCAGAGCTATTCACTGAAAGCAGACAGAGGACACTGGTACGCTGGGTTCTTACTAGAAAGATGACCAATTTAGATCTGGAGGCAGCAGACATCGATGATGATGGTGCTGTTGGGTAAGTTATTGATGTTGTGATGTTCCCTTTGGATTTTGTTGCAAGTTGTTTTCCATCGGTTTCTTTTTATCTGGTCATATTCGAGGGTGTAGTTTATTGTCTCACTTTTTAGGTTGTTGGCTATGTCTCTGAATCTCTACTTCCTCCTTTTACCTAGGGCCGCAGAGTTCATCCTATATAAGCTTAAAGAGATGGGGAAGATTAGCCAAGAAGATATTGCACTTGTAATGGAGGAGTTTGAGGATCTTGATGTTGATCAATCTGGAACCTTGTCAGATTCTGATATCACGCTTGCACAGTCAATTCAGATGAAGAAATGACTTCACCATCAGCGAGAAGCCCTTGACTAATACAATTAAGTGATATTGATATCATAGAAGATATGGTTTCCTGTATCAAGTTTACCCTAGTATGTTCATTAAGGCTACTGAACTTTATGGAGAAAAGAAATACTGATAGATCTTGAAATGAAAAGTTTTGGAAGGACAGATGCAAGTAGAAGGCTAGGATACTTATTATGGTTCCATGAGTTATGCCAGAAGGAAGCGGCATTGCAGAAAGCTCAAGTTGCTCTATGAGAAACAAATGAGCATTGCCCACAATCTCACCTGTTTCAACATCCAGATCCAAGCTATGTACCTCCTGAAAAAAATGTTTCAGAGATAGAAAAGCATACAGCTCGAACTTGACGGGCAGGCATCTGATATTATGCTCAACCCACGGGGTACAGGCCCAGGCTATCTTTTAGTTTGGAGAGCTAGAGGATCTGTTCCGCTTGGAGGAGCTTGCCTCGCCACAAGCGTTCTCCATGAAACACATTAAGCTTATTGCCTTTCACCGCAAGATATTTGAGCCGCTGGCGAAAAAATCTCTGAGAGCAGATGATCAGGAAAATTCCAAATGGAGTATAACCTCTACCAATGTTATCTTGAACGTCATCTGTTATACAATAATCAAATGAGAAGAGACATTCCTTGATGTTTTAGACATAAAACACCAAGGAGAGACATTTTTATATAAATATGTTTGTAAAAAAAAAGAAAAGACCGCTTTTATTATAATAAATAGCATTACATAGAAAAAAATGAATTTTTTTTAGATTTATATAGATTAAAAAAAACATAATATTCTGTTTAGAATTACTATGAGTTAAGTGATTATAAATGGAAAGCCTCAGATTCAATATTTGATTTCCATTCCAATCCTTCAAACAAGATTATGAAATATACTACCAAGCAATATGAAATTTTCTAAAAAAATTGGCCGATTGAAAAGGGCCGAACAATTGTTTCATTTCCCAAGAGGGATTGATCTTTCAAAGCGGCTTTAAGAGTCTCCAGTAATTTTCTTGGACGCTATTCATTGCCGTCGATGTAATCTATGCTAATTAACACAAGTATTTTGTATAATAGGTCTTTTTACATTGAGAAAAATATCTTAATCCGATTACTTGCTATTGGCGTAATCCATCCATATCCTTATCTAATTTATATGAAAAATAAAAACAATTCTAAAATATAGTTTTTGTTGTTAGTATTCATCCTATTTAAGGCTCTGTTTATTTCCGTGATGCGGTTTATATTTTGCTTCAATCAACATTTGGCTTGAAGTTTTGGTCAACAAAGAATTATAATATACATTTTTAAAAAAAACTAAAAAACAGAGACTTATATTTAGGTTGGAGCGTGGACTTGTAAAACAACAAGGGAAGCCGAAGCATGCAGGACCATGGGACAACTGAGAGAGGACCTCCGTTCTGGGCTCTGCTTGTTCACCGTGTCATAGATGTATTATTCTATCCTGGGATAGTTTTTGCTAATCAAAACTGAAATGCAATTCTGCCTCCTTAGATAATCTCTCTCCCCCTAGATCTCCCTGGAACCTGCTTATCTTGTCTGGAAATTAAGCTTTGTTTTGGCTTATGAAGAGTCCAGCTTTAGCTTCGATTTTACGAGAACCCATCGATCGTTTGTATTGTTTCAGTGAGGTTCTGAGCCCTCTTTGGATCCCACTGCTTTGTTTTTATGAATCCCATTTATAGATTTTATTTGGCTCGACAACAAATCTTGATGGAACCGATTATTTGGGCAGTTTGGATCCATCTTGCGAAGCCACACTTCCTACCCATGCATGCCAGATAAGGCTGAAGTGAACAATACATTCCAGGGCTTTCATTGAAAAATTCCAAGCTCTAAGTAAGTTTCCTCCATCTTTTGGAATGGAATAAGCAACTTCCTACTCGCATTTTCCCTACACGCACTCTTTCAGTTATTAGGCACTGTCCAAAACCAGATGAGAAAGGACGCTCACATTACACTTGTAGAGAAGGAGACTAGCCGCTTAGGACAAGACTGGCAATAAATTCTGTAGCAGCATATAGATCTTACAGAGTACGGTGAGGAATTTTCTAGGAAATTTCGTAACCGGAGCACTTTAAATTAGACGCAAACCTGCTTCCACTGGTCAAACCAGTAGCTCGGTTTCGGTGAAGTGGAGTTGTAGTTGGAATTGGTAGTGAGACTTCTTCTGAACTTATAAGTTTTAGGAGAATTCTTTTTTCTGTTTGCCAAGTGCTTTTACTTCTTTACATAATTTTGTTTGGTATAATCATGATATCAAATTTATATCTTTTTTTTTTGCTCTTGCTGTACTAATTTATACGGCTTCATGGTATGGGATATCCTTGTATATCAATCGAGATTAAGTCTCCTCTCCAAGGGCTATACATAGTTATGCATGCTGGAGCTGCATTTAATTTCTTGATACTACCTTTAATTAACTAGCTCACGAGCTTTTCCTTAGCTTGCCCTTGGTTAAATTTTAGCCAATTATTTGTTGTTGAATTTGTTCTCTAAACAGTATCTTTAACAATTTGCAGATTTTCTAAGAGCCCGTTAAGCATCCGTGTTTGCTAAACCACGTCGATGGCTTCCAATGGTGCAAAGCAGTCCTTTCTGTCAGGATTGGTGGATCCCACCTCTCAACGAATTGATGATTGTTCTCCCAACAGAAAAAGGTTTCGCAGTCTTCAAAGTACTCTAGCAGAGTTTGTTCCTTCAGATGGTGGTGGCAAATGGCCAATTCCAAGTTATGAATTCCTTTTCGGGGGACTTCACCAGAGCCTGAAGACACTAGCTATGATCTTGGCCGTCTACGTGTCTGCTGGCACTATGTGCTTTTATGCTGTCAGGGATGATATCAAAGGGAAGACATCAAATCCGATTCTTGATTCTCTGTACTTCTGTATTGTGACGATGACCACAGTGGGATACGGGGACCTTGTGCCCAATAGTGCCTCCGTGAAGTTAGCTGTCTGTGTTTTTGTCTTCATAGGGATGGCTCTAGTTGGACTGATACTGAGCAAAGCAGGAGATTATTTGGTAGAGAAGCAGGAAATATTACTGGTTGAAGCCCTTCACATGCATCAAAAACTTGGTCCAGCTGCATTTCTAAAGGAAACTGAAGTCAACAAAGTCAAATACAAATGCTATTTGGCTGTAGCTATTCTTTCAGGGCTTATGATGATCGGATCAGTTTTCCTATACATGATTGAGGATCTGGACGTTGTTGATTCTTTCTACTGTGTCTGTTCTACCATTTCAACTCTCGGCTATGGAGATAAGAGCTTCTCAACTGGATATGGCCGTATGTTCGCTGTAGTTTGGATACTGACGGGCACTGTTGGTTTAGGTCAGTTATACATGTACATTGTTGAGCTATTCACTGAGAGCAGACAGAGGAAACTGGTGAACTGGGTTCTCACCAAAATGATGGCCAATTCAGATTTCGAAGCAGCAAACATAGACGATGATGCTGTTGGGTAAGTTGATGGTTAACACTCGTTTCCCATCGGTTTTTTTTTTTGTCACATTTGTGGATGTGGTTTATTGTCCCAGTTTACTAGTTGTTAGCTATGCCCTGACCATATTCTTCCTTGTTTTGCCTAGCACTGCCGAGCTCATCCTATATAAGCTTAAAGAGATGGGGAAGATCAGCCAAGAAGACATCATGCTTGCACAGACAACTCCAATGAAGAAGTGACTTATCAACCATCAGCTAGTAGTCCTCGAGCAGTAAAGCTGAGTGATATTGGGAGAGTTTATTGTACCAAGTTTACCTTTAGTTTGTTCATTATGTTTGGAAATTTAAGATTTAAACATAAATAAAATAATTCCAATAATGGTTTGGAAAACTTTTAGCAAAATAAATAAATTCTACAATGAGATTTTTATAAGGCATGATTTGTTGCCTTGTTGATTTGTCAACTGGAAAATATTTTTTTTTTAAAAAGTGGTTTTTTTGAAAAGTTAATTTTTGAAAAATAAATTATTTTATGATATTTGGTAATGCCATAGAAAATAAATTAAAAAATAATTTTTCAATGTTTAGTTATATCATGAAAAATGATCTAAAAAATAACTTGTTAATATTTATTTTTCAAGTTTATTAAAATAATAAGAAACACATCTTACAAATTAAAAATTTAAATGAGAATGAAATTGAAAAAAAATTAATTTTATAAATTATCTTAAATAAAATAAATAACAATCAAAATAATAAAAATCAAATCAAAGATAAAAAAAAATTAAAGAATGATGAAATTAAAATAATAATAATTAGAATTTCATAAATTATTTCAAATAAAATAAATAACAATCACAAGAATAAGGATCAAATTTAATAGATAAAAAATTTCAATTAAAAAATAAAAAAATTATAAAAATCAAAATCAAAATTAATATAAACATTAAATTAAATTAAATTTTAAGAGATAAAAAATAAATATTCAAAATAAAATATATAGCAATTAAAAATTTGAAGACCAAATTTATTATAATCAGTAAATAATATGATATTTCTAAATTTTTTATAATTTTTAAAAAATATTTTTTTATTTAAAATAAAAAAAAAACACTTTTCTAAAAACTAATTCAAATTTTTTTAGTTGAAAAATATTTCCTATTAATTAATTTTTTTAATAGTAAATAAATAAAGAAAATTTGAAAATTTATTTTCAGAAGTTTCCGCCTGAAGAGTTCTTGGAATTGGTTTCAAATAAGCTGAAAGTTTCTACCACATTACAATACCAGATGAAAGAAACATGATAGTCACTGAAATTGAAAAGGTTTACTAGGGCAGAAATGCAAGTAGCTAGAGTGCTAGCATAGCTATTATGTTTCCATGAAGAATGCCAGAAGGAGTCGGCATTGCAGAAAGCTAAAGTTGCTCTTTGAGAAACAAATAAGCATTTCCCCCAATCTCACCTATATACCTCAACAGAGTTCCAATTATGTGATCATTATATAAAGACAATAAAGAATAACATAATCAAGAATAAAAGAAAAAGAAAGTGATGTTAACAGAAGAAATGAGAGCAAAAGGGTGTCATCAGTGATTTCTGAACCTGCCCTTCTGCCCAATCCTCGGGGTATAGTCTCAGGCCATCTTGTAGTTCGGGGAGCACCATGTTAGGTTCTGCTAGGAGGGCCAAGATCACTCTATTTAATCTGAGTTCTTATGCCATTAAAAGATCAATTTGCACAGTCAAAGATCCCAAGAGGCCAGGAAGAAAGGGATTACAATGGCATTAGAGGTACATTTCATATTGACCCTCATGAAAATTCTAATGCCTAACTGAAAAAATAATATTCAGATTACAAGACATTTTTTCTATTGAGCACTTTCTTCAGGAGTGATTCTCTTCCAGGAAATCGACTGCTATTCTCCACCTTGCAATCTTGTTGATGATCAACCCTCCCTGGTCTTGATCCCTCAAGTCTGACCCCACCATCACCATCGACCCTATTTACAAAACCATCCTTACTCTTCATTACAATCTCAATCTTATCCTTCCTCTTCTCCACTTGTTTCTTCAACTTGGCCCTTTCTCTTCTCTCCCTCCTCCTCTCTTCACTTTCTGATAAAACCTTATCATTCTCCACTCTCGATAAATCTTTATCTTCTTCAACACCACTAGAGGAAGATGATCTTCTTGGTATTTTGCCACCTTTACTAGTACCCAAGAGCTCGAAGTTGACTCTACTCCACCCAACTTTATCTTCATTGTCCCAGCCAAACCTCTCACTAATCTCCAACAATCTTGACACTGCACTGTCATCATTTCTTGACAAAGAAGAAGAGCCGCTGATACTCCTATTATTGTTTCCATTTAGGGCTGTATCAGCAAATTCCCACTCCAATCTGTCCTTGTAAACTGGGTCTTGGAGCACTTGGTCGGCTAACTTAGCCCAGTGCTCAAAGTCACCAGCACGAAGATTCTTGGAAACCCATTTCAAGTAAGTAGATGGGAGAGTGCCAAGCATCTTGCCCTTGTACTTGCCAAAGTCTATTACTCGGTCTGTTATCGGAGTTGTGGTGATTATGAGTGGTTTATTGGGTGGCCAATTAGTACCATGTGGTTTGTTGGGCTTGAAAGAGCACGTGAAGTTATGAAGTGTGGAGGAGTACTGGGTTAAGGTCATGGTGGAGACTGTAAAGAAAGATTCAAACTTTAGGTTAGAAGAGATAAGAAGCAATTGAACAGCCAGAGACAGAATAATAGATTACGCTTTTGTTGTGGATATTTATTAATTAAGATTTTTATTTATTATAAAGCTTATTTGTAAATAAAGATTAAATCTTGGTTTTGAATTAAAATCATTATTTCGGGTCGACCCATCCACTTCATAACCCATTTGGGGCCATTCCCGCAAGGGCGATGGCATCCTTATCTGGGTTCTGCAGAGCTAGGACTGTGAGCTATTTTTCAAGAGCTAAGAAACTGACATCATCAGCATCAGCTTGCTAATTGAGACAGGTCCCCTGTTCTGCGCTCTTGTACTCTGTAACAGACATGATATACTGAACTCTTTGGAGCCTTGGAGGATGGAAAGCAAAGTACCTAAAGACATGCTAGCAAAATCCCAACATATCATAACGTTCATTCTCCATTAACCATAGCATGGCAGAGGATGATGATGTATACTGTACAATGTATACTACTGGATCAGATTCTACGAACTGCTAATATGGCATAACATCACTGATTCACTGAATTTCTTTCACCATATCCCAGATTTTAAGCAGCATCACATGATACTGCTTCTGCAGTCTCAAACCGTTACTGAACATGGCATCATTCTTCGACAAAAAACAATTTTCAAGGCAGCCAGCCTGCCAGTTATCTCTCATCTTCTTGACATTCAAACCAAAATAATTTGACCCATTAGTCTAGCTCCAGTGAAAGAAGAAGAAGAAGAAGAAGAGAAAATGACCCTTTTTGGTGACCCAATCGAACCATTTTTAAGGAGATGAAACCAAGCATTGTGCGCGATGAATTTACTTGTAAACAAATAAATAAACTAGCCCCGGGCTTGAAGTTATTTTTCACGCCCATGTTCTTGATCAAAAAGATTTGGAGGTCCAAAATTACCTTTTAATACAACAAATATTTTGATCCCTCCTCCCCAAAAAAGTAAAAAAATATATGAATTTTGATTCCTTAAAAGCTTATCTTGTACCCCACTCTCCTTCCAACGTACCCATGGCAAGTTCAAAGGGGGAGTCTATTGAGGCACTCCAGGAAATTAATATATAAAAAAAGTTGATTAACTAAATTTAGTGGGGATGAACAAATTTGGAATGAGTTGTAATTTAATTGATATTAGTGCCCTTTTCAGAAGGTTTTCAATTCTTTCCCAAAAAAAACAATAATTTAGTTGGAAAGCCATGAAATAAAAAGAAAAATAGAATATGGATCTTCTCTAGTCTCTCCTCTCTACCCCTAACTGGCTCTGCCCATACCGAGAAGCTCATCCACTTGTTTGCAAGAGTCAAAATCGCTTCATTTTGTATTCAATCTCTCTCTCTCTCTCTCTCTCTATATATATATATATATATATATATGTATATGTATATATATATATATATATGTATATGTATATATATATATATATATGTATATGTATATATATATATATATATGTATATGTATATAAAGAAGGAAGCAAATGACTCCACACACTCACATACATGCTCATCCCCTTGATCAGATGCATTCCTCCACCGTCATTTTCTTTTGCATCACACCTCTTTATTTTGTTTTATCAGTATATATCTATCTTGATCGATGGCTTGCAGATACAAGCCTAAAATGTTTTGTCGATGGTTTTGTACCTGTAACCTTGTGTTCTTGGAGGATATTCACCACCGGTGCCATGTTACTTCATTTTTGGAGCTTCCTCGCACGATAATGGCAATAATAATGACCTTTCAACAACGGCCAAAGCCAATTTATCCACCTTACGGGATTGAGTTTCCTCAAGAAGCCACATGAAGGTTCTGCGATGGTCGCACCACAACTGATATTCTAGGTCCCCTCTTAACTCTTCTATATACATCATTAGCTTAGTACTAGTGATGATAATTTACTATTTCTTCCTGATCATGAGCAAATTTTGGGATTTCAAAGAAGGGAATTTCACTGGAATTTTATATCCCAGTAAAGTTTTTGTTAAACCAATTTCAGTCCAAAAGACCTGAAAATGTAGCAGTCTTATCTTTTTTACATTAATTTTTTCACACATAAAGGTTGCAAGATAAATTTGATTAGCCTCCTTCTTGCAGCTGAATTTCTAGGATTCAAAAATTACATCCCATCCTGCAAAAGGTTGGGCCATACCTACAGGTGTTAATTATGCGTCTGCTGCTTCTGGGATTTGAAATGAAACTGGACAGAACCTGGTAATTTCTTGTACATTTCACGAACATTGCAAATTCTTGATTTAATTTCAGCGAGCGCGCGCGCACGAGTTATGATTACTTGGAACAGAACAAGTAATAGTACTTAAAAATTGTTATTGAACATTTGTCACGTGCAGGGAGAACGAATCAGCATGGACGATCAACTACAACATCACCAAATTACAGTGTCGAGGATTAATGAGATTATAAGAGATAAAAACCTGGCTACAGGGTGCTTAAGCAAATGCCTATATTCAATTGGAATGGGCACGAATTATTATATTAACAACTACTTCAGGCCACAGTTCTACCTCTCAAGCAGCGCCTATACACGCCTGAACAGCATGCCAATGTACTTAACCAAGAACTTTCTCAGCAATTTGATCTCTTTTAATCTGTTGCTTAAATATCGAAGGTTTCTCAAATAACCATACAAATTCTTTTTTGTTTTTGTGTTCCTTTCTTGGTATTAGACTTTGTACGACTATGGAGCAAGGAAGGTCACCACCCTGTTTGAGATACCTCCAATAGGTTGTGCTCCCGCCATCTTAGCTGCAGCTGGCACAAATGGTTCTTCTCCTTCTTCTTCCTCATGTGTAGACCGTGTTAACAATGCAGACCAGCTTTTCAACACTGGACTCCGTTCGCTAGTGGATGGGCTCAACAACAATCTTACCGGAGCGAATTTTATATACGTGAACACATACCAGATATATTCCACTTCTTCAGGTAAATACATAAAATTAATGTATTCAGGAGAGGAATTAATTAATAGTTGAAACGAGTATTTAGATGACAAGTAAAGTTTATAATCTGGTGATTAACCCAGGTTTTAGAGTCAGAAATGCTCCATGTTGTCCTGCATCAACGATTACAGCACTATGCATTCCATCAAGTAATCCATGTGGTAGTGGGAGTGATTATTCATGGTGGGATGCAATTCATCCATCTGAGGCTTCTAATATCATAACTGCAACCGGATCATATAATTCTCAATCTCCCTTTCATGCTTATCTCGTGGATATTCGTCGTCTGGCTCGGCTTCGAGTTCATTTGTATTTGATCAGTAGAAGAAGACATACGTGCAGCCGAGATGGGCCATTCAGACAGCAGAAACATTTTGAAGACGAGTTTCGAAGGCTTCAGGGAAATAATACATGCAAGCAGTAGCCTTTTCCGTTGATTGTTGTCAGCGCCACAGAGGCATGCCTGATTAATGTGGCAGGCTGTCTTATAGCAAAATGTTTTCATTCCAGGTGTGTTTGTATTTTTTGAAAAATTATATTTTATTTTTTTTATATTTGTTTGTTATTAAAAAATTTATTTAATAAAAAATATTTTTCAAAAAATATTTTCCAGTTAAATTTTTTTAACTTATTTTCATGAAAGTATTTTTTTTATTTTAAATGAATAATATTTTTTTGAAAGTTATAAAAAATTTAGAATTGTTATATTATTTACTGATTATATTAAATTTGGTTTTTAAATTTTTGATTTCTATATATATATATATATTTTAAATTGTTTTTAATTTTACCTCTTAGAATTTAATTTTTATACTAACTTTGATCTTTATTTTTATAATTATTTTTTCTCTTATCATTTTTTAATTGAAGTTTTTTATTTATCAAATTTTATTTTTATTCTTGTTAATTATTTTATTTGAAATAATTTATGAAATATTAATTATTATTATTTTAATTTCTTCATCTTTTATTTTTTTAAATTTGATCTCTATCATTTTAATTATTATTTTTTTAGATAATTTATGAAATTATATCTTTTTTCAATTTTATTTCGATTTAAAATTTTAATTTGTGAGATTTATTTTTTATTATTTTAATAAATTTAAAAAAAATAAAATATTAAGAATTTATTTTCCAACATATTTTTTATGATATAAACAAACACTTGAAGTTATTTTTTTAACTAATTTTTCTTTATACTATTAAATATAAAAAAATAATTTATTTTTTTAGAATTTATATTTTTTAAAAAATTATTTTCAGAAATAAGGAGTAAATTATTTTGTAACAGTACGATGCGCGAGTATGTGAGGCCCATGGACTGTGAGAACATTGGTAATAGAGCAGAAGAACGGCCTTCTGTCCCTTTTGCAACCAAACACTTGAAGTTATTTTCTCTAACTAATTTTGTTTTATATTATTAAATATAAAAAAATAATTTATTTTTTTATAATTTATATTTTTTAAAAAATTATTTTCAGAAAATAAATAAGAATTAAATTATTTTATAACAGTACAATGTGCGAGTATGTGAGGCCCATGGACTGTGAGAACATTGGTAATAGAGCAGAAGAACGGCTTTCTGTCCCTTTTGCAACCGAACACTCATGTTATTTTCTCTAACTAATTTTTTTTTATATTATCAAATATAAAAAAATATTTTATTTTTTTAGAATTTATATTTTTTTAAAAATTATTTTCTGAAAATAAATAAAGATTAAATTATTTTATAACAGTATGATGCGGCGAGTGTGTGAGTTCCATGGACTGGGAGAACATTGGTGATAGAGCAGAAAAACGGCCTTCTGCCCCTTTTGCTCCGGGCGTCATTGTGTGGGCGAGGCCCGACTAAACCCTATGTTGCCCGACTAAACGATCTTAATTTATAATTGCCGTTTCGCTTCATAAGTTCAAAAAACGCCACATCTCATCCTGACTTCCGCAGTATTATGTGTATTAATAAATGGGAATGATGTGTATGTTGACAAACTAAACCCGTACGTGTCGCCCTCACCTTGGCTTTGTCCAGGGACCTTCTGGTCCATTCATCTATTTCACGAAATGGCCTCGAAGTTTCCATTCCATCTTAATTTGTCTTGTGCCGCTAAAACCATTTCTTTCGGGTAATCAACCCATTTACAACTACCTCGACTAGAGGTCTTGGAAGGCCATGAAACTAATCATATGATCTTGCAGAATTACATAAAGTTAACAGTACAACTTCTTTTCCCATTTTGTTCATACCTTGGAAGGCCATGATTTCTGCAAGACATGGTTTAAATTCCATTTTTCTCAGTATAGAATTGTTTGACTTTCTGTTGGAAAAATCTTTAAACAAGGAGACTGAGTTGCTGCGGATATTTTTATTGGGCATTTAAATTTGATTTTTTAAAATTGTTATGTTTTTAATTTGTTGATATTAAAAATAAAAAAATATATCATTAACATATTTTTCTAAATAAAATATACTTTAAAAAACAACCATATATATTTTTTTTTCAAAACAACACGGTAAAAAATGAGAGAAATAACACAATTCAAAACTAACACAAGAAGATAACATGGTTTGACGAAGACTGGAATTTGAGGCTGGGCTGTTTTACTGGTATCTCTGCTCGCCGCCATAAAAAACACAAGCCATCAACACTCAACGCAATTAATAATTAACACTCAATCATAATTCACATCATATTTTAATTAAATTTAACCCAAACTAAATTTATAATTACTCATAAAAATGTATTATTTTTTAAAATAAAATTTGAACCATGATGTTCTTTTTATATTGCGCTCCTTAAAAAAACTCTAAAAACTAATGCTAATTAAAGTAATAAGCAACCAATAATAAAATTATTATTATTTTCACTCATAAAAATGAGAAATTTACGGTTCTCAAGGAGTTAATTCATGTTTGTCCATTTTTTCAAATAGATAAAAAAAATTATAATTAAAAATATTCTTATCATTTGTTTTACAAATTATAATTTTTCTTGACATATAACTTTTTTCAAGATAAATTAAAGAAATAACCAATAAAATACTCCTAAATACTCCCCTACCACCATAATTGTTTTTTTTTTAAAAAACCAATAACTTTTGATTTTTTATATTTTTTCGAAACCCATGCGATGAGATGACATCTCTTATCTGTTATATCTTTTAAAACAAATAAATAAATAAATGCATCCAAAACAAAAAGGTCAGCATTAATGACTGTAGAGCCGCGTCCATCTCGGGTTCGCACTGACATGGCAATTATCTAAACAGGTAGCGCTACATTATTACAGTACACCAAAAGCACCATATCATTATCCGCCACCCGTGGCAATTCATTACAAATCCTGGTGTCTTCTGCTGCGGTTGCCCTCTCTCCCCCTCTCCCCATCAAAAAATTAATCAATAAAAATTAAAATCCAACCCTTCTTCTTCCCTCTCTGTCATCTGCTTTTACCAAATCAATTCGATTGAAACCTTAGGGTTTTGAATCGATACTTAGATCCTGTACACTCTCTCTGCATCATTTTTCTCCGAGAGAAAATGCCGTCAGTGTACGGAGCTCGATTGACCACATTCGAAGATTCTGAGAAGGAGAGCGAGTATGGATACGTTCGTAAGGTAGATGATACCTTTCCATTTCTTTTTCTCATACAATAATTAATCATATAGATCGAATTTATTTTCTGATTTTGATTCAACTCATCTGATGATCTGTTTCTGTTTATTTACTGTCGTCAGATCGAGTTCTTTGATTTATCTGAAATTGATATCGCCTTGAATTTTGATCCGTTAGATCTGTTTTTAATTGTTGTGATCCGTTGAGATATGATTGCTATTGTTAGTTTTCTAGTGATCTTATTTGTCTAGTTGATGTTTTTAACATAATGGTAGAGAAGTCGAGAAGCTCTGGAATGCTAAACAGGCCTGTGTAAGTGGTTGCCAGCATTTCAATGCTGTGCGTTTTGGACTTATAAAAACTGAATTTAACTGTTTGTGTTATTACTCGAACCAGTAAAATAAAGCTTATGCAGATAAAAAATGGATAGAAATAAGATACGAATTGTTCTATTTGTACAGTGTGTCTGTTGGCTCATTTGTTTGGATTAGGATTTAGTTGTTATATTTCTAGGATTTGAGCAACTTATCGCGATGCTTGATTTTTAGTTCAACTTAGTTTGTTAATGAACCTAATATAATTCTGATTTGGTTTGTTAGGTTAAATGGTTTTCCTGGTTTTGTCTGACTAATTTGATATGGTTTTCATAGGTATCAGGGCCTGTTGTGGTTGCAGATGGTATGGCTGGTGCAGCTATGTATGAACTGGTCCGTGTTGGCCATGACAATCTAATTGGTGAAATTATTCGTTTGGAAGGACATTCTGCAACAATCCAAGGTTATTCACTAATGCGAGTTCTAGAATTCTTCTTTTCGTTCACCATCCTTGTCATTTTTTAGCATTTTAGTTGATCGATGTTATTTATCTGCTCTGCTCACTCTTGATTCCCCTTTCTGTAAAACGGAAAAGAAATGCTTTTCTTTGTTTTTGTTCTGAGGTGCTTGAAATGGACATGAATGTTTCTGTTCTTTACATGTCAGTGTATGAGGAAACAGCTGGTTTGATGGTGAACGACCCTGTTCTTCGGACGCACAAGGTGATCTCACTATCTTGTTATGTTATTTTTTTTTTCTAGATGTGTATTGTGACTGCATCAGCTCATAAACTGTATGTTGATCTTACAGCCATTATCCGTAGAGCTGGGACCGGGAATACTGGGGAATATTTTTGATGGAATTCAGGTTTGACAGCACTTTCTTTATTGTCAATTTGTGATTAATTAGAATTACGTTTAGTTTTCTGTTAATCATAAGTTCCTTTTCTAAAGCCTTTAAGTTTAACTTTGCTCTTGCTTTATCAAAAAGAAAAAAATGAAGTTTATGGTTTGCTTTCTCGCTTGCAGTATATAGTGGTTAACCTTTCACCTACATTTTCTTATCTTAACAGAGGCCTCTAAAAACCATTGCAAGAATATCAGGTGATGTCTATATTCCTCGTGGTGTCTCTGTTCCAGCCCTTGATAAAGACACACTCTGGGAATTTCAGCCCAAGAAAATAGGTAATGGCTGGAATGTTGTTGACAAATGACAAAGGTCTTTCCAATTTTTTATGTTGAATTCCTCTAACTTCAGTTATACTTGATGTTGGCAGGCGAGGGAGATCTTGTGACTGGTGGAGATTTGTATGCTGTAAGCTTTATATTTTAACCTTTTTTTTTGCAGGTCTCCTTTAAAAATGTGTACTTTTAACGTTTTGTTTATTATTTATCTATTTTTGTGTGGTCTAACATTGGAATTTGTGTGAATATTTTGCTATGCAGACTGTATATGAGAACACTCTAATGCAACATCATGTTGCACTCCCTCCTGATGCCATGGGGAAAGTCACTTACATTGCACCTCCTGGTCAATATTCATTGAAAGTTCGCTTCTTTCCCTTACATTAAAATGATAATTGCACAAGAATGCATCTGCTTTCCCTTTTTTTTTCTTGTTTGATACATATCATACAGCCCAGTTCTTACTTGTTGCATATAACATTGGCACCGATTTAAATGAGTTTTTCTGTATGCTGAACTTGGGAAGTACTAGCAATAATCTGAATCTGGATTAATGGAATTATTAACATTCTTCAGCCTTCTTGGTTGTAGTTACCTTTAGTTGTGATTCATATTTATGTGAATTCTTTGTAACATATAAACTGCACATTGATGTTTCTTATGGAGATCTGTATGTTGAATTGTGTTTTTGTAGGACACTGTGCTGGAGCTTGAGTTCCAGGGTGTAGTAAAGCAATTTACCATGCTTCAGGTTTGTAACTTGTAGCCAAACTTTCAGTGAATCAAGATGCTTTAATCCAAAGTTAATTTTTTTTTTTTCATTTGCTATGTGCTTCTTCTTTATGCAGACTTGGCCAGTACGTACACCAAGACCAGTTGCATCAAAGCTCGCTGCTGATACCCCTCTACTTACTGGGCAGGTGCTTGCTTACATTCGTTGGTTTTCTCATCTATTGCTTTCACACTTTGTAACTTGAGTTCCCAATGACTTTGTTGTGTTTCAGCGTGTCCTTGATGCCCTTTTCCCCTCAGTTCTTGGTGGGACTTGTGCCATACCTGGTGCATTTGGCTGTGGGAAGACTGTCATTAGTCAAGCTCTTTCCAAGGTGAAACTTGTCAATTCATTGTGGAGCTAACACTGCTTTGTGATGTTGGGTTAGTTTGGCTGATTCATTACTAAATGTTTGTTTGTGCACGCAGTATTCTAACTCCGATACCGTTGTGTATGTGGGCTGTGGAGAAAGAGGAAATGAAATGGCAGAGGTATACTAGTCTCTCAGTTTACGCATCAATGCTCTTTTATGGTTTTTGAGATTTTTAATTTAGAGTAATCTATTGCTCAGGTGCTCATGGATTTTCCACAATTGACCATGACTTTGCCTGATGGCCGTGAAGAGTCTGTCATGAAGCGTACAACCCTTGTAGCCAACACTTCTAACATGCCTGTCGCTGCTCGTGAGGCTTCAATTTATACAGGTAACTCCGTTTCTTTTTCAGTAAATATTAAGCAGATTAGAGAATGATATGAAGAGTTATCTCTGAAGCGTAAAGTTCTATTTTTTTGTTCCTATTCTTTCTTGTTGGTATTTTAAGAATTTTAGAGTTACAGAAAATTTCTGTGTGGTTTTATTAATTAAGAGCTGGTGCTTTTTGAAGGCACACATCAGTTAATGGTAGTGATTTTTTGTAATGCATGAAAAGAGGGTAATTTTTATTATATCAGATTTACTGTCACAAGCCTTCTGTTGGAGAAGGAGCTCCCTTTTGAAAGACATGTAGTATTCTGAGGAAATAAATGGTTGCAATTTAGGGAATGCAACTCACCCTACCATGCATGTATGGGTTGCAGACTTAGGACTATTTAGACCATGTGCAATGGATCAAAGAAAAAATTTCTAACTGTAATTTTATTGCTTAAGCTAACAGTTACATGGTTGCAGTTGATTTGCTTGAATTTGAAAATTCTATATGTTAGATTCATTTAATGTTGATAATATTTTGTCTCATCGAATGGTTTGTGATGATGCTCTTCAACTTGTGGGCCGTTCTCAGGAATCACTATAGCTGAATACTTCCGAGATATGGGCTACAACGTGAGCATGATGGCAGATTCAACATCTCGTTGGGCAGAAGCATTGCGTGAAATTTCTGGACGGCTGGTTAGCCTCTACCAACATTTATCTCAATGCCTTTGAAGATTTTTCTAGTGCTTCATATATTAGTGTCTGATATATGATACTGGCAGTGTTGATCTCTTTGTCTGGACTGTCTCTTTTCTTGCTAGGATGCCTTAGCTTGCCTATCATCTGCAACCATCATTACCCAAAATATTATTTTTCTGTTTGCTAGATTTGTAGAAACTAGATATAGTTAGAGTACTTGACAGTTGGTTCTAATATCTTATCAGGCACTGGCTTCCAAAAAGATTGGTGACATCTTCAGTTACTGATATTGATTAGAAATATACTGTCCTCGTTATTGATTCTTTGGATAGTGTTTTTCTTTAGATGATGTTTTTATTAGACAAATGGATTAGCATTGTTAATTATGATCTATTATGTTAATTCTTTCGTGCACACTGCGAAATTTGTTTGTATCCCACTCAGATGAACTCTAATTGCATGTTCTTAATTATATTTGCAGGCAGAAATGCCTGCTGATAGTGGATATCCTGCTTATCTGGCAGCACGTTTGGCCTCGTTTTATGAACGTGCTGGAAAAGTAAAATGTCTTGGTTCACCAGAGCGTACAGGTAGTGTCACAATTGTTGGTGCAGTTTCCCCACCAGGAGGTGATTTCTCAGATCCTGTTACTTCTGCTACCCTCAGCATTGTACAGGTAATTATAATTACAGACTATGTTTACTACAGTTCATACTAGAAGCAATTAGCAACGGAGATTGCTGAGACAAAACAGAGAGTCAAGTCTTTTTTGCTGAGACCACAAGCTAAAATTTTTGAATTTTGTTTTGAGAAGTTTGAAATAATCTGTTACAGTAAGCAGACTTTTTTTTCTTAATTGTTCCTGATTAATAATAGGACAAGAAAAATAAATTTCTACACTAAAAGGAAAAGCCATAGAAATACTTATGTTTAATTAATTAAGTCAACTTGATGGTGGCAAAATTACTGATCAAAAAACTGGAAAGCATATCCTAGGCCCAAAAATGATTCTGCTTCAGTAATCAGGGTAAATTTTAAATCCAAGCACGAATAACTGAAGTCAAGCAGTTTGGAAAATGAATTTGTTCTATCTTGATGTCATTTTGAGTTATTTTTCTCCGAAAGTTATTTTTTGGTTAAAATGAGGTGTGATTCATTTGTACTTTTGTAGGTCTTCTGGGGTTTGGACAAGAAACTTGCACAAAGGAAACATTTCCCTTCTGTAAACTGGCTTATTTCCTACTCTAAGTACTCGGGGGTATGTTTGCAGTTTTTTTTGCAAGCTTTTGTTTTTCTTTTGAAAGAAAAATTGTTGGATGCTTATTGGAGGATCATGGCTTTGTATATTCTATGCAACCTGTTCGTGTTTTATTAGGCTGTTATGCTTTTGTTGTCAGGCATTGGAGTCATTCTATGAGCGATTTGATCCAGATTTTATCAACATCAGGACAAAGGCACGTGAAGTACTCCAAAGAGAAGATGACTTGAACGAGATTGTCCAAGTATGTTTTCTTATTTCAAAAATTTCCTCTTCTGGTTCCCTTAGGTCCTAGAAATATAGAATATGTGATTTACCCGGTAACCGTTGAAGAAATATATGGATGAATTCTGTGAGCTATATGATGGGTTTGTTGTTTCAGTTTTACATTTGCTCTTGAACCTTAATTGTAAGAGAACTCATCATCTCCTGTCCTTAATTGGTTGATACTGCAAATTTTAATTTGGCATATAAGAATTTGGTGGAGATTGATCACCTTTGGCTTTTATGATACTGTAGATTCCCATGGAATTATCTTGACTTTCACTATCATTGAACTGTTATTTTTTTCTCTACCCCACCCTTTGAGGCACATTTTGTGCAACACTATGATCCTTTCTACCTTGCTTTTGTCTTGTAACTAGTTGTGAAGTTGAAAGTAAAAGAGGTGTTTTTACCTGCTTGTGAGTAAATATCCTTGGCTTTCTGGATCATTGCAGCTTGTTGGAAAGGATGCTTTAGCTGAAGGAGATAAGATTACCCTGGAGACAGCAAAGCTTTTGAGGGAGGACTATCTTGCTCAGAATGCATTTACTCCGTATGCCCCAACCTCTTTACTTGATCTTTTCTATAATCCATCTTTTTTGGCATTTAAGATTTTGATTAAACTCATAGTTATGCAGTCCTCATGCTTGAGTGTATGTTTGTGTGGCTTGCAGATATGACAAGTTCTGTCCTTTCTACAAGTCTGTTTGGATGATGCGCAACATAATTCATTTCTACAATTTGGCCAATCAGGTAATTTAACCCCCCTCCCCTCTGTTATTCTATGTCCTGTCCAGGGAATTTACTAGGGAGGGCTGTGAAACTCTGGCAGATGTCGGCTGGACTTGAATCATGTACAAGTTGCTCATTGTCTTTAAGAGAGCAACTTGGGCATCCATCTTTTATCTGTTTTGTTACTCTTTCAGTTTCGTTAAGTCGAAGTTCATCTCACAACGTGTAGAAGACTGTATGATTTGATATGGATCTTTGATGAACATGTTTGCAATTCGATACAGGCTGTTGAGAGAGGGGCGGGCATGGATGGTCAGAAGATAACATACAGCCTTATCAAGCATCGGTTGGGAGATCTCTTCTATCGTTTAGTGTAAGTGTACATAGTTCTACCAATAATCCTCTTTGCAAAGTTAATGCTTATGGAAATCCACAATAATTGCTTTCTGATACTGTCATCTGTCAATGTTGCAGGTCTCAAAAATTCGAGGATCCAGCAGAAGGGGAAGCAGCACTTGTGGGAAAATTCAGCAAGTTGCATGAGGATTTGACTGGCGGCTTCCGTGCCTTGGAGGACGAGACTCGTTGATTTAGGCGTTCCAGATTTTGGTTATTTATTTACGGAGTCTGGCAGCTCGAAACCAGCACTTGATCTAGTTGGATTCGTTTGTCTATGAAGGATCAGTGTTGTTGCATTCCTTCATCCCACTTTTGCGGTGCTTGCCTTATGGGATGTGATAGCTAGTGTAATTTGTTATTCAAAGCGGAGACAGTCAGACTAAAACCGTGCCTTGTTTATTTATGCAATAAGGCTTGTTTGTGTTCAGGCAGTGTCAATTTGTATGATTTAATTTATCATAAATAAAAGAATCTTGTCTTATCCCTAATTACTCATTGAATTGTACTTGTGATACGAAGGCTCAAGTCTTGGTCATGGCAGAGGCATGCCTCTTGCAATGTCTTTTGACGAAGGCCTTGTGGCACAGGCTTGCGCAGCAAATAGATTCTTGGGACGCTACCACCCTGAAATTTCTTACGATTTTTATACAACTCAGTACCATGGGCTGTGCACAGGCTTTAAGAAGAACCGATAACTTGATTTAGGATTTACCATCATGCTTTAAGAAGATCCCGTATCCTTCTATGCCCGGATGGGTGGAGGGCTTCATGGCCGGTTTGTTTGAGCTCTTTCAATCCTTCCTTCAACCCATCACAGTGACGATGAGATTGGCTATGGCCACTTTGTCATGCGCAACAACGGACTTCGGCAACTAACATGTGAGACGCCGGTATCTTCACCACGACACCATCAAGCTTAGCCCTTAACTCCATCCAACAACCTCTCTCTGGCAAACCCCCAATCCACTCATCATCATACCCCATCTCCTTTTTCGCCAACTCCAATTCCCACCACTAATGGAGTATGCACTGTCCCACTCCTTATCCCTCTCTCTTGTCCACCCCCATTCATCTCTGTGCCTCCACTCTTATCCCTAGCCGCCTTCGCATATATAAAGCACCAACCCCTTTTGGCCCGTTAATCTTATGTCCACTCAACGACATCAAAACTCACATCCCACTGATCCACATCAACCAGTATCTTCCCCAACACTTGGGCCGCATCTGTATGAAACAGCACATTAAACTCCCTACAGTTTCTTCTCCTTGTAAAACTTCATAACCTCTTTAATAGAAATATTATTCAACTCCATCGCTCCTGATGTGAAAACGATTTCCTTTTGCGACGCGCCGATTAAGTCAGCTATTTGGGAGCGGGCGGTCTCCACGGCTTGATCGGATTCCCAACCGTAGAGGTGCGTGCGTGAGTGAGGGTTGCCGTAGCGAGCGAGTTAGTATGGGAGCATGGCGTCCAGCATCCTGGGGTCCACCGGTGATGTTGCTTGCATGTCGAGGTAGAGTGGCCGTGCTGAGATCTTCTAGCCTTTCAAAGCCATAGCTTCGTCATTTTGTGTTGGGGGTGCGGTTGCTATTGCCGCCGCGATGGAGGGAGGAAGCTAGAAGCTTTGAAGCCATTGCTTTAATGTATTTGAGGATTGAGTTCGTGTTTATTTATGATGCGGCAAGGGAGACAGATATTTTACACCTATTTCGCCTAGACCCCTCCCTGTACCAGAAGTAGTTACAATAGCAACCTGTACAGGGTAAAAACAACTTGTAAAGTTTTCAGGCTCAATCTGAGTTCTGATCCAGTTTAGGCTTTGGGTTACTGAGATGAGCGCCCGCGCGTGCGCGCACACACACAATTTACATCCCCAGAATGTGGAAACAATCTTTCAAACCCTTATCTGGAGAACAAAAACACTGGCAAATGAGTGAGGTGTTGATGATTTCGCCATGCCAGGGCACAGTTATATGATAGTAGCAATAATTCAACCACACCAAAAAAGCAATGGCTACCAACCCAATCACTTGAAGAAACCAAAAAGATAATGTTAACATCCCACCAGTTTGCAAGCAAACACATTACATTTTATGACATCCCCTCAGAAAGCAATCCTCCCTTTCAATCTCGCAGAAAGAGGAGAGACATGGACAGTGGGAACCAAAAATACGTTGTACATTAAACAGCAAGACTCACACCTTGCCAAAATATTAAAATCACTTAAACAAGAGTTATACAGTTCAAGCGGAATAATCGTGCGTTGCATTCTCGAGTTCACCACCAGATATAAACAGGCACAGTATATCAATTCAATGCGAGCTGTGGTACAACTACAAGAGATGTCTTAGTAGATTCCCGGAACAATCCGGTAGCGGACCCTCTCACAGTACAATCTCCAGTACTTTCCGTATCTGCAACCAGGTGGTCGTCAAATTTTATTTCATCTGTCAAACATATCAGAATCCAACTATGTGTCTAGCAGTACAGATGACATTTTTTAAGATTATGTTCAGCAATTCTATCTGTAGGCCATCCAAATAAGAATACAAGTCAAGAAACAGTGCTTACTTGGATCCACATCGATCATCATCCCTCTTAGCTCGGTCAAACAGAAGGATGGTTAGAAATATCACATAGAAATAGGGTAGAAACTGCACAAGCAAACAAAGTTATCAGTAGCGTGTCCACAGGACTTCATGAATTGAGAAAGTACTCCTATATTCAAATGCTTACATGATTAAAAAGAGCCGGGACAGTCCAGAAAAAAGCAGCCAGTATTTCAGGTACATAATGGAAATGACGAGATAAGCCCCACCTGCAAAATCCAGGATACAAAATCTCAGCCGAATATAGCCCTGTGGATACAACAAGATGGAACGAATGCTGGGTAAAAATAATCTTGACAGCAACTGTGTCCAACAATACTTACCATCCTGAAGTCAAAAGGAGGCTTGTCTTTGTTTCCCCAGATGTTGTCGTGTATGAGGCCACAATCTGTTAAAAATTAGAATGTATTGTGCCTCTTACTCATGGTTGAAAATTATACATCATGTAAATATAAGGGATATATCACCAGATCACCTTTGATGGAGCCTTTCCCCAGACCAAACATTTGCCATCTGTTCTGCGAAATTCCTGCCTTTGCCTGTCACAGTCATAATTGACATATATGGAGAGAACGCCTGCTGCTAGGATATAGAGTGCAAGCTGGAGAAATAGGAGGGAAATGGTTAGAATAAAGTATATCAAGGGATATAGGACTTTGCTTGTTTTTCTATTTCATGACTCTAGCAATCAAGCATTTATGCTCCTAATTGGATTTGAATATTGCCTTAGGGTAGCACTTCAATTGTAAATTGATGGGTGCTTTTATTTTCCTACTTTTGAACTGAAATGTAAATCTGCAACACTTTTTTCTTGGGCAGAAGGACCATAAATCGATATCTTTCACTATTGAATTTCAACTCGAAGTTTTTCCTAAAAAATTCCACTCCAATTCAAAACACGGAGCTTAAAGCAAAGAGAATGGCTGAAGACAGGGCAGTTAAATTGGAAATCAAATAGATGAAAACAGCAAAGAACCTGAAGTCCAAGGTTCACAGGATGGTTAACAAGGTACATGCCCGGAGAAGTATACACAGATGGAACCCATACTAAGCATCCCCAACAAATATAAAATCCAGCTGCCAAATCCCAGAAGAGGAATAAGCATAATGAAAATAACCATCAAAACGAAAGATCTGGATAAAAATTCAAAAGCTCCTTTGACAGTGACACACACTAGAATTTTCAAAAAAAGAAAAAGAAAAAGAAAAGATAAACACCTTAAAATTGCAAATAAAAATACATTTCAAAAAAATAAATGAATGAACTAGAGAATATGTAAACCTCGATCATGTGCAATGTCCATTGTGTTCCAGTAGCCAACTTCCCACCAAAAAAACTTTGTGATGTACACCAGCATCAATATTGTATTTACAAGCATGGAATCAGCTACTTTCCCATTCTGCTCATACTGATAGAATACCAAAAAAGTGCATTTTAAGATTTATATTCATGCGATTATACATGCAAAACTTGAATTAGAAACTTTATAACAAATGAGTTGAATTACACATATTGCATGTATAAAGTAAAAACAACCTTCAGTGACGAGAAAAGCACAAAAGCATTTTTATGATAGTAGCCTCAGGCCACCGAAATAATGAATTGACAATCACATATTCAACATGTAGCACTGGTTCCATGAGGCATAATAGAAGAGTTAAACACAATTTTTTCAGAAATTGGGAGCTCATCCATTTCTCCAGAAAGGAACTTGCACTCAAAACACAGCCCATTATATAGCATTTAGGTTTGGGATTTGGCTATCCAATAATTATTACATTCTTAAATTTCCACTTGTCAACAAGGAATAAGCTTATAGCTAAGAGATTGGAAAATTGCTAGTTGCTACCCCTATCAGAATGAGTATTTCATCAAGAAAGAACATTTGAGCAATGCATCAAAGAAGTAATGTCTAACTAAATTTTAATCATGACCTGATACAAAAAAAAAAAAAAGGATGCTTCTATCAACCAAAAGACAGGATTTAACCTCTTCACTGTAGAATTTGATTCATCTTATAATCAGCATGTATACAATCCCAAGCTTACAATATCAGTATTGTACTAAAAAGAAACAAGAACATCATTTACCTGCTTAATGCAATAGGTCAATGCCAGAACAGCCCAAGACATCATCCCAAATCTGCAGTTTGTGAAAACTTTGATGTCGAAGTTCTTTCCAATTCGAGGATACAGCTCCATACCCTGCGAACAGAAAAGGAGACCTTTATAATAGCGAGGCCTAGACTACAATAGAGCCATATAGGAATTTGAGTGACTAAACAAAAAGCACCATATCAAGTGGGAAGGCAAAACAATAGTTTAATAATTGTTTTACCAAAGCCTTCAGATGCCAGTCTATAAACTCATTGACGTGGTTCACAAATTTGGAAAGAAGAAGCTTAAATTTGAGTTGCTGGCTAAAACAAAGAAGATTGGTGGATTTTTAATTTAAGCTTCTTCCCCTCGGTTATATATCTGGCTAAATCTCCCTTTCCCCCCCATCAATCATGTTGCTTAATGACAAATAACGATAGTCACATGAGAAAAATGAAAGGTGTTGTAGAGTTATGAACTCACCCAATAGAAGTCGATTATTATGTTCCCAGATGAACCAGAATCAGTAGACGATGGAGCCAAATGGCCCTTCCAAATTATAATAAAAAATAAGAAAATCAGTAAGAGTTGTAGCAAAATAAATGTGAACCGAGGAAGGTTGCGTAATTACAAATCCTTACTTTTATGTATAAGAAAATACAGAAGACTAAGCTTCCGAAAATGAGAGCAGAAAATATTTCTCCCAAATGATCATAAACAATCGAGGGGTTGAATATACCAAACCTGAAGAATTAAAACAGAATAAGTATTAGGTGC